AAGATTCATATTTTGATTTAATGTTGTTTTCAGTTTTTGTTGATGATTCTATGATTTGGTTGGATGTTTTTGTTATGTTTGCATAGGAATTAGCTTTGGGAGTAAACGGGATTTGGCTGTTATATTTTTTAATGGCTTCACGCATTGAACACTTATTTATAGTTTTAACTTTGAGGATCTCTCTCATCTGTTGGAATTTAGGACATTGGTTCGATGAGGAAGGGTGGTTGCCTGAACAAATAGCATATAAGACTCTAGTGCAATCTGATGGAGAATGGGTGGGGGGGGGATAAGTGTACACGTGGCACAGACTGGGGGATTATGGCAATGCTTAGCTGTGTGACCAATAGATTGGCATACCTTACAACGCATAGGGTTAGGGTAGTATGGACGAACGTCAAGAATCCTCCAGGCGACCTCAATTTTTTCCGGGAGAGTATATTTATCGAAGGTTAACAAGATGGCGCCAGAAGGCTTACGTGTGCTATCAATAATTTTTGAAAATTTATAAGCAGCTGCTACTCGTTGTTCCTTGAGGCCTTCAACTATTTCGTCTTCGGAAACGTGGATTAAGAAGGGCGCATAAATTGTGCCTTTTACCGAATTGAGGTTATTGTGTAACTTTATAGAAATATTTCCAACACCGGGTAATGTCTTAGCATTCAGGAACCTATCAGCAGCTTTCTTATTCTTAGCAAGCAGCAATAAGCTGCCAGTCGTTCCGGTCAAGGCATAAAGAGGTAGAAGTGATTTCTACATTTCTCTCTTTCGAACTGCGACTGAAATGTCAACTCTTAACATTATACAATTAAAAATTTTAATTTTTTAGTTTACAATTTCAATTGTGAGCTGTGCTACTGATTTCAAATACACAATAAAATGAATAGGATTTACGAGCGGTATGCTGTGTGTGGCAAGAGCCAGGACAACAAACTTTATTGACAAGTGAAGGGAAAAGGGTGGGCTAATAGCTGCGGTGTTTCATTGGAATACTCTTCGTGTGTGTGCGAGAACCATTTTACGGCCAGTGACTTTATATTTGTTGCCCATTGCAACTGAGTATTTGTAAGCGCTCTCGTTTGTTCCCAGGCCGTACCTGAGGTGTCTGTGGGGAAGAAGTTATCGGTTTTGAGGCACATACCCAAACTGAGCAAGTGTGCCATAAACAAGCACGACTGGATCCACGAGTACACTAATATACTATATAAGCATCCTATAGGATCTTGAAATAGATACTTCGCCGACCTAAACGGGTGAATGCCGATCTAGGCCTACCGCCCCCGCACACGGACGAGACGGAGCTTCATCTGCCTCGGGAGACGCGAACGACACTTGCACAACTTCGCTCCGGCTACTGCAGCAGGTTAAACTCCTACCTGAGTAGATTGAATGAGGATGTGCCAAATGAGTGTCCGGCATGCGGAGAGACCCCACATGACTCGAAACATCTCTTCGCATGCCCGGAAAACCCGACAACCCTAACGGCCTTGTCCCTGTGGACCAACCCCGCAGAAGCTGCACGCTTCCTAGGGCTGCCGTTAGTGGAACTTGACAACAACGACTGAGATACCAACCGACCTGGGCGGGGTTGTTGTAGCCGCTACAACAACAACAACAACAACATTTTGAAATAGACTTAGAGCACACCACAAACTAGACTACAAGTGATTGTCAGTAGTCCAAAGTTTGGTCCAAGCACATGTAAAATTCTATTTGCATTTAACATTGAATGTCCTAGGCTCGGACCAATTGTCCGCTTCTGCATTACATTGTAACCAATATTAGATATAAAAAAATTAAAAAAATAAAACTTTTGCCAAATGCGATTCGAATCGGGGTTCTAAGATTTTCTAAGCAGATACTCAGCCTCATTGCGTAAGTCGAAATTAGGCTAAACTGTACGACTCGACAATATTGGTATTGTCCACTGTCGTGCTGAAATAAGCAAACGAAGGAAATTGTCGAAAACTATGCAGTGCTGCCAAATTTTTCCGTTTAAATACACTAGACGAGTCGAAATTTTAGGCAATGACATGAAATTTTCGATACGATTCGACTCTCGAAAAACGACTTGCATTCGACACGACTCTCGCAATGAGGCTGACTCTCTGTGCATGCCAACGACGCACATGAAAATTCGATGACTAAGTGCCTACATATCAGTAAATCGTTAATTGTACCCGTTGTGCGCTACTGCGTGACATTGTAACCAATTTTAGATCAAAACTCATACCTTATGCATTACATACATTAGATACAAAACTACTATACCTACGACTATATTTTTCGAGAAACTGGACCAATGTTTCCTTCAGGGCAAATGCTCCTCGAACACTAATGATAAAATTTGGTACATGCATAACAAAGGGTTAATTTATTTGCTTACATTTTTTGACATTACAGTCAGCTATGAGAGAGCTCGACTGAGTTGTCACTTCTACCTTGTTGAATATACCTTGGTTCCGGTCACGTAGACCCGACTGTCGTGGGAACGTCAAATTTTCTTTTTTATCCTTCGTGTATATTTTTTGTGTTTCACAGCTAAGCTCCGCCATTTAATTTGCATATACAATCACGGGTGATTGTCATTAATTAATAAATTGCGACGAATAAGTTTCAACTAAAGGAATAAAACAACTAACAACTAATAGTGTAGTGTGTAAAGCAAGGTTTTCATTCCCACGACAGCCGGTTCTACGTACCGGAATAACTCGGGTTTTACCCGACCATAGAACACTCACAGCCGCACCACCACCCACACGCCGCCGCCAACAACTCCTGGTTCCCCCTACAATCTGCACGGTATGTCAGACCAGGATTCCTTAATGTGACTTCAGTCAAGTGCAACACCTGCCTTGGCTGGTGCCACTTTAGGGCATGCTCTGGTCTGCGTACCACGCGAGACTGGACGAGGAACTTCGAGGGCCCGTGTTGCGCTGCTCGGTTGCAGACCCCAACTGCTACGCCTCCCGCCACCACCACAGGGCGGCAACCATCACAGCAGCGCACTTAGCCAACGGCAGTAAGAACACACACATCCCTTACACCCCACACAACAACACGTCTCCCGAACCACATGAAGCTCCTTTAATTTAACTGTAACGTGCCACAGAGCAAGATTGAGGAGATAACCGTCTTTATGTGTCGGCATGGTATATTGATAGCTGCGGTCCAAGAGACGAAGTTGCACAGCAATTCAACATTGTTGAATTGTGCCGGGTACAACGTGCACCGTCGAGATCGCGAGCGAGATAATGGTGGTGGCTTAGCGTTCATCACGCACCGCACCGTACAGTATCGTATTATCGAAGCAGACATCGACCGCAGGGATACCACCCTAGAATGTCAGGGCATTGCTATCCGGTCAGGCGATGTTGAGCTCGCAATATTTAACATATACATACCCCCTGTCAGCTGCTGCTCGGCAGGATATCACTCTGATATAGGTGCGCTCCTCAGAGGTGAAAACCGTATGGTAGTAGGTTACTTTAATGCGCATCACGATCTTTGGCATTCAAGCCTGTCAAACGATCGTAGGGGAATAGAATTGGCTGAGCAGATAGACGATTCGACATTCTGCACAATGAACGACGACGCACCCACCAGGATTATGGGTAACTGCAGCTGCTCGCCAGACATCATAATAGTCAGCGCTGGTCTGATAAACAGCATAACATGGCGACCTATGCTGACTTTAGCATCAGACCATCTACCCATAGTCATCTGGATAGATAAACCAACCGACTTTGCCTCCGCTAAGCACCGGACCTATATCAACTTCTCTAAAGCTGATTGGAAAGGTTACGCGGTCCCACACCAACCGACGTCCATCTCGGTGAACGTAA